ATATTTCCATCATCTATGGTAAATTAAATTACTGGAGAATTAATCAAGACGTTCATCAATTTTTATTTAATTTATTTATATTATTTATTATTATATTATAATAATATAATTTATTTATATTATTTTAATTAATTTAATTTCTTTATTTAATAAATGAAAAGATCTATTTTATGATATGCACAATAAAGTTGAAGATTCTTCAAACAGAAAAAATATTAATAATAATAAGTAAAATAAATGAGAATAGAATAACCTTCTGGCCTCTTGCATTTTCTATACGCATAGTTTTTTTTTCATTAAAATTTTATGTAAATGTAACTTGATGAAGACTTGCATCACAAAGTATACGGAAACTTTCTGTGACTTTGGTACGATGTCGCGCGCGCCGGATCTAGTTCCTTATAAAATAATAATAAACGCAACGCGATGATTCCGCTCAAGGATAGAGAAATAATTGCGCGTATCAAATAAATTATTCCGCATATTTTCGTCGATCGGCCGGCGTATGTATGCCGATGCACTTGGTGCCCCGTGGTACCATCGTTCGTCGGTCGATTAGAGCAATAAACCATCAATAATATAGTATACTTGCTACTCAAACACGCAGAATACATGTCTGGAAGTAATAAACTTGCTTGGTTGTTTTTTCTTGCGATTGTATTGTTTCGCGACGTTGCATAGAAATTTACAACCTGAAGAAATGAATCTTTCGATTACACTAGAAACAATATCATCGATAAGCGAATGTACTTTATTCCGAGGTCTAATTTTGCCAGATCGATATGTCGAGTGGCACGAAAAAAGAAACAAGAACAAAATATTTTTACAAAGGAACTTGCAAGAAAGAACCACTTTTCAACATATGAACGTTTATTTTACAACATACTATTATTTTAATAAAAATTTAATTAAAGAAAAGACATGTACATGTATGTATATATATAAAAGTATTATCTCCTGTTATTGATTTTATATCTTGGGAAAATGCCTACTATATTATACAGAAAACGTATTCTAATATTTTCGTTTACGTGCGTGCAATTTATCATGATATAAAGCTGAAATATAGTTAGGCTATCTTTCTTCCGTAATCATTGTTCTCCAGTAATTAATGATAAATATTTCTTTCCGAGTTGATAATTACGAGTTTTCTTGCTGCTTTTAAACAAATACGATATTTATCATATTCTTCTACGCAGTCTGACCTATTAAAAAAGAAAATATACTTCGGACAACCGTTGTAGCGGAATTTTTTCTTCGTACGTTGGTCGCGTTGTTTGCTCGCGTGCAACGGGACTCTGGTGTCATTCCATAATTCTGGAACTAATTGGAACAAAAGCAGCTCACGTATCGTCCATCTGCCCCCTTTCCTTTCTGTCCCTCCCGCCTCTTTTCGCCGGTCTTGTTTCTGAATCATCTGCGACACAGCCGCGGGCATCTTCCACCTGCTAATCTCGAGGAAAGCTGCGCGTTCCAAGCGACTTCCACCTGTTAGTTATGAAGGAAAGCGTGTAGTCACGGAGTCCCTCGTGTAGAACGAAACTGCATGCGCCGTGCATCGCTCTTCCACGCATGGCATCTGCGCTCTTTCTCTCTTTATAGTGAGAGAGAGAGAGAGAGAGAGAGAGAGAGAGAGAGAGAGAGAGAGAGAGAGACACATACTGTGAATGCACAACATGATGTGCTTCGAAAGAAAATACACCATTACTTTCGACGCATCGTTGCACCTCGCGATTTGTTCCTTGAAGCACCATCGTGGATTCTTTCATGTGCGAACGAATCAGAATGATACAATTGAAGTCCATCTTTAAATTACGTGTAATATTATCTATATTTTCTAAGTTCAAGCTTTGTAAAAAGGTTTTTGAGATATTCCAATTTACAATGAAACTACAAGAGAAAAGAATATCAGAAATTTATCATTATTATATGCATATATATATATATATATATATATCGATCT